AGAAGAGCGGGTTGACTTGGGTCAAACTAGTACAGATTGCAAGGCCAACTGACTTCGTCAGGTCATACTGAACTAACAAACATTTATGTTAAACAGCAACTTAAAAATGGTATTTAATTTCCATATGTTTAGAGTTTAGCACTTATTAAATTTATTTTATTTCAGATAAATGTAAATGAAATTCAAAGATTTTCAGATTTTCCACTGTCAAAGAAAACTCTAAAAGGTAAGCATTTAAGTTTTCTTCGGAAAGTAACTTAAGTAGAAATTCATATAGCGTTTGTTTGCAAAGAAAGCAATTTTTGCTTTAAACTGATTTTAAATAAATATTACCATATATAGCATTTTCCAAATGGAAAAATACAGCATTAGGCAAGATAAAAATAAAGTTTTCTTCCCTCTCTTCTGCACCCTAATACTAGGATTGCAAGAAGCTCAGTATCGCATGGTAACTGAGATTCAGAGGCAAACCATAGGTTTGGCTTTACAAGGTAAAGATGTTCTTGGAGCTGCAAAGACTGGATCAGGCAAAACTTTGGCTTTTGTTGTCCCGGTAAGTAATTTACATACTTCCATCTACACTTAGGCCAAGTTATCAAAGAAGCCTTGGGTGTTAGACAGCTTAGGTTAATGGATCCTGGGAGAAAGGGTAAAATTGACCTATGTGCTCCAAGATTGGCTCACTTAAGAAAGCTGCCTGAGGTTTTGGATTAAGTGTATTTTTGTCCCTATAAATATTCAGTCATTTTGAAATTTTATTTTGATCCTCACATTAACAGACCCCATGTGATTCAGGAAGTGCTTTATTTTTCTCTCAGAAATCTGTCTTCCTTGTGCAGCTCTGCTAATGTTGTCTGATTCTATTAAAATTTGAAAACCGAGTGTATGAAATGGGTGAAGTTCCTACAGTTCCACAGGCTTTTTTAGATCAGTGGTTTTCACCTCTTTAAAATTTTAGGCTGTAGACCTTCTATTGCAAATTTAAGCATAGTGACTGTAGGCTTCCTTTTCTTGGTCATTTTTTGTGGAAAACGCTTCCAGATTTGATCAGGAAAACAGGATGCAAACTCCTGCCGTGGATAATAAATGTTTGAGTGTTTTACTCCAATCATCGTGCTCTGTATTTAATTTCTTAAATTAAAGAATAGGAAAAAGTGTACGTGGCTTCAAAAATATTCTTGCAAACTTGAGGAACAGAACAGAAGTGAGATTGCTCAATTAGTTCATCTAGAAGTAGAGTTTTTTGTCTTAAAACATTACCCTCCTTCCCCAAAACTGTTTAAAATAATGGGGAGGAGTTGGACAGGTGAAGAGTGAAGAAAAATTGTATGTGAATGCTAAACAGTATTTGCTATTTCAAAATACTTGAGGTAGGATGATCGGACCAATGAAATCTTTGTGTTAAGATTAGTTGACTAAGACAGTATTTCTGCAACGTGAATTCATTAGAGGAGAAATAATCCTGGATCAAAGTGTACAAGACCTTTAGGCAGAATGCTGTCTGTATAGCATATATGCATAGTACTGCTCTAAATCTGAAACCAGAATTATTAAGGCTGGATTATTTGGCTTTTTTCTAGCTGCTCTTTCTGGTTCCCACAAAACCTTACAAGCACGGAAATTTCTCCTGTGTTTCTGCATCTGATTATACTGATTATATACTATTATTATATACTAGTCAATCATATACTATATATAATGTATAATTATATACTATATACTATCTACTATTGATTATAAACTTCTTTCCTGTGAGCACTGGAAGAGGTTGCCCAGAGGGGTTGTGGAGTCTCCTTCGGTGGAGATACTCAGAACCCACATGGACGTGATCCTGGGCAACGTGCTCTAGAGGACCCTGCTTGAGCAGGGGGTTGGACTAGATGATGTCCAGAGGTCCCTTCCAACCTTGGCCGTTCTGTGATTCTGTGTGATTTCTATTCTCACATAAGTGAATCAGACTTGATTTCCAGATTTTAGCAGAGTAGGATTAGTTGTGCAGTGGAACTTCTACAGTTTACAACCCATTGCTGTCTGTCATAGATTGGTACTGGGGACCTTTACTTCAGCAAGTATCGTTGCCCTCAGTTAGAACTGATATATAATCAAACTGCAGGAAATGCATATTGACGTTTCTCAAATCATTATCTGAATTAACATCACTTTATCTTTTTTATGGCTTTTTTTTGTTATGTGTTTTCCCTCTGTGGTTTTGTAATGAGAAGAAAGCAATTTTTTTTCAGGCTTTGGAAATCTTGTATCGCCATCAGTGGACTTCAGCAGATGGATTGGGAGTTTTGATAATATCGCCTACCCGGGAACTGGCATATCAAACCTTTAAAGTTCTGCGTAAAGTGGGAAAAAATCATGACTTCTCAGCTGGCCTTATAATTGGAGGAAAGGTGTGTCCTCTCTCTGAATCTGCATAAATGAACAAATAAGTGCTAGTTTTGGAAGGAAGCCCTTGAAGGGAAAAGTCAGGGAAAGCAGTAGTTCGTGGGAACCTCTTAGTGCACAGACAGGAAAATGAATGGGTCACTGTCTACCTTTTGAAGCCTTTGTGTATTTATTATCTTACTAGGCTGTGCGACTGGATGGAACTTCCTGCCAAGCTTTCAAGGACTAGCCTTTAATTTAGATTATTCTGAAATACTTTTTTGCTCAAGCCAGAGGTCTGAGCATGCTAAAGACATGATGCAGTATCTGCGTAGAAAGAGGAAAAGAAGCCGATCCATGACTGTTTTTTTTCTAAAAATCATTAATAGATTAAGCTGGCCAGATCATCTCTACCACTAGACTGCTGGCATGAACAATTAGAACTAAACGGATTTAACTTATTTTCAGGATCTGAAAGAAGAGTCTGAGAGAATCCACCACATCAATATGCTAATTTGCACTCCAGGACGGCTTCTGCAGCACATGGATGAAACTTCATATTTCTATGCATCTGATCTACAAATGTTGAGTAAGTTTTTAAGTATTTGAAAGTACTCTGAAATATTTTGTAATAGTTGATAACTGTGTGGGACATTTTTCTTGGCTAAAAAGTTCATTCTGGTTGTGGTATGTAGATGAAACAGCGTTTCAGTTCAGATATGCAGAAATTAAAATAGAAAATAACAAAACCCCTTTCTTGTGTGCCTTTTCTCTCTCTCAAAGCAATTGCTGAGCGTGTTTTCCTTAGGATGAAAAGAAAAAGTAGATGAGTTAATAAGGGACCCAAAAACAAATATGGCATCCCATTATAATCCTTTAGATATGTGTTGGCTAATGCTGACCTTTTCTTTTTGGCTATAGCTCTCTTGTTTTGCTTGATAGGATAACTAACTATATGAAACATTTACTGCAGTGTATGTATTTTGAGCCAGTTGTAGAAAATATTTTTCTCTGCATTTTGAGCCGGATTGCTGTTTCTTTCTTTGTTGTGTTAGGCTCTTGTTTCTTTTCATCCTACCAACCTGAATACAAATTCAGCTTATTGAAAAGCTTTGCCTGCCTTTAAGAACTGTGCATAATCTTTAGCATAGCTTGAGGAACTTAAAAGCAATTAAGAAGCTAATGAAGCTGATAAAAGGTGAAATTAAGCTTGCTACACTCACTACAGTTCATTGCGGTTAGACAAGAAATGCAGTAAAGATAGGCCCTTTTCTTAATGCTTTGTCTCTGTGCTAATCTGTGTACTCGCTATATATCAGTGGTAAATTTAGCTTAGATACAGGAGAGTCTGTTTTCCTTGGTCATGAATAGTGCAGCACTATTCTTTGTTTCATGGTTTTGTTTCTGTAGTGGGACAGGGATTTTATAATTTGTAGTTTATCTGCAAATTACTGGAAATGCTGATCTTTCTATACTTTAGTACGTGACGCTGAGGGTACGTAATGTTATGGGAAACGCTGTGACTTCTCTATTGCAATATTTTTAACGTTTTATGGAGTATGTGAGTAGCTAAAGAGAATTCTACAGTACACAGCAGTTAATTCTTTCTCTGCAGCTTAAGTAGGCATTGATTTTTATATTATACAGCTCTAAAGTCTGAATTTTATACAAAGCTAAAAACAATGTCTCTCATCTATTTTTCTCAATTCAGTTCTTGATGAAGCTGATAGAATTCTAGACATGGGGTTTGCTGAGACAATGAATGCAATCATAGAAAATCTACCTAAGAAACGCCAGACCTTACTTTTTTCAGCAACACAAACGAAATCGGTGAAGGATCTTGCACGGCTGAGTTTGAAAGATCCAGAATATGTTTGGGTTCATGAGAAAGCCAAATTCAGGTACGTCAGAATAATTTTTCTAGACCTCGGGTTTAAACAGGTGCTGCTTCCCTAACTGTCATCTTCCTGAATCAGAAGTTAAATTTTGCTTCCTTCTCCTTCCTTCAATTTCTGGTCCTGTTGCATGCCGTTCTGAAAGTAGGGAATTTTCAGATAAGGCATTACTTGTTGTGACTGATTTATTGCAGGGAAGCTGAAGCTGCACCTTGCTTGTAGCTCCCCAGGCAACTTCTCTGACTAGTAGTTTTTTTTTCAGGCCAGCTCCAGGAGTGGGTTATAGCCTGGACAGAGCAGTCTTCTGGCTGTAGCAGCAGTCATTTCTTGGTTGCTGCTTTTTTGTTCTTTGGCTTTCTTTCCTCTCCTGCCTCCAAACTCACTATGCAGGACCACCATACCAACAAATAGTGCTATGTTTGTTGGACAAATACGGTTCTTCTGTGTGTCTCTGGTAAATCTGGTGTTCCAAGGAAATGCTGCTCTATTGGGTGTGTGCAGAAGGGGGGTCTTGTTTGCATGCTCGGTATTGATTGGGTGCCCTTAGGAAAACATGTGACGTTTGTTCATGTGCGAGACCTGAGTCTCGTGATTCCAGACATGCAGGGTTTGCTGTGCATGTTCAGGACTCCAGCCCTGCGCAGATGAAGTAGGTTTTTTTGTCGTAGAGTTTGGACCAGAATAGGAGGTCCTCCATGGAAGTATATGATCTGCCCAGCTTAAAAAAAATTAACGTGACCTTAAATGCAGAAAGGTGCACAGAGTTCTTAGTATGCTTTTTTTCTCTCAAAAACTGAGTGAAGACCACTATTTACAATTCTGCATTTCTGTGGGCTCTAGTCTCTGAGTGACAGATTGCTTATAACAAGTATGATTACGTTTTTCTGTTTTATGAAGTATGCATATATTTGCATATGTAAGATGCAGGTGGAGGAAGGTGAAGCACATGGTAAAATGTGAGCCAACAAGGAATAGTCAGTAAAATGAACAGCAGAACTTGAATGAATCCTCAGGCAGGTTTTAGCTGTTTGATGTCAGAATGTCTCTTTGTCCTTTATTAAATAAGGGATCTCAAATAAATACAATTACGGGGAAAAAATCGTGTGGTTAATATCTTATAGCAGAAGAGGATATAGAAGCCTAGTATATAGTCTTCAGTTTGAGGATTGACTATACATCTGTTTCACAAACCTTGCATTTTTGTGAAGTCTATTTTAAAGCACATTGGAATTTTTGAGATAACTGAAGAGGTGCAGTTAGATGATGAACTGCATCTAAAAAGGAACATATTAATTTGTTTTAGAATTACTGCCTTTGTACATGGCTTGGTGTTATCTTAAGGAAACCGTTTCCTGTGAAAGTTTTACAAGGTGAAAGTACTGTGGTATAATTTAAAGTGACTAGTGGAATAAAAATTAGAGCAATGTCATGTAACTTTATTCTCCCAAGTGGCATCTTCAGTAAAATAAAGTAATTTTAAATACCCTTGGTCTGTCTAAGGTGGAGTAGAGGGACTGAGAGAGAAGAATATTTAAATGCATTTCAAGGAAAAATATGTCAAAGAATATTCTTTTCTTTCTTTGTAAAGAATTGAAAGGTGAATAAGGACGACGATTTGGGGCTTTACAAAGTCACTTTGCATGTCAGAGAGTGATCGGTAAAAATACATCAATGCCTTTTTTTGTGCATGATTAGACTGTGCTTTGACATTGCCTTAGCACAAATGATGGTTTAATAGGACTAATAGACGAAATTGCATTTTAAGTCGAGTCAATTTGAATGTCGCTGCTTAGACATGGAAAGAGTTTGGCCAGCTGCTAGTAACTGAATTTAGAAGTCAGAAGGTTTTTTTTTTTTTTTTTTTTCCCCTTCTCTCCTTCCTCCCTTTCTTCCAGGATTTTAGTTAGGAAACTCATTGCTCTTTCAAGAGTAGGTTTCCATTGGAGCTGCTAAGAGTTTTTTCTGCAAGTGGGAGAACCTCCCAAACTTAATGTGTTATTTTTTTCCCTTGGATATTTGTCAGACACTCTTGACTTGAAAGAAAGGTCAGCAGCTTTGTAGATATTGTATGCCTATATAATCTTTTTTTCTGTTGTTTGTTCTCTTTTTAATGTTATGGGAAATATGGTATCTAAATATACTTTTTTTTTAGTACCCCGGCAACTTTGGACCAGAACTATATTGTTTGTGAGCTTCAACAAAAAGTAAACATGTTATACTCTTTCCTGAGAAGTCACCTGAAAAAGAAGAGTATTATCTTTTTTGCAAGCTGTAAAGAGGTATGACTATTTTATTTTTTTCCTTGTAACTTATTACAACTACTAAAATTAAGATGTTCGTGTGGATATCAAAGCATCAGAGAGGTGAGATGCTGGATAAGCTTGCAACAGGAAAAGTGGGGAGGAGCTAAACCTTACCCACATCTGGCTACATGTCACACAGGGCTGATGAGACAGCCTGGGTGTCCGGAAGCGCGGAGACCCGGGCTCAGCGCGGGAAGGTTCCTGCAGGGATCTGTGTACTCAGAGATTGTTGTGCTCTGATGTTGAAAAAGAAAGCTAAAGGCTATGTAGCTAAGAGCCAGCTAATATGGTTTTGTCCGGTGAGGCGTTTCATAGTTGGGTTACAGAGTGTTTAGTAGATGTATCTGCTTTTTTTAAAAGCTTTGAAAGCTTGCTGTAAAGAAATTCTAATTATGAAATAGTGTGTGGAAGAGTTTTTCCTATGATTATATAGGATGTAATTCTTCAGATGCCTGCTCATGTAACTGTCCTGGGAGTATTTCTTTGAAATTATTTGTAAATGTTGGTATGGCAGATATTCATTCCTCTGACTGTGTGGAATATTTTTCCTATATATTTTCAGCAGATTATTGTCTGGTAAATATTCATTTTAGTTTTTGCACTTTTGCAAGAGGTTACAATATTTCTGTTGCTTTGCAGTTGGCTGCTGAGTACAGTGAGGTTGTAGACTTATTTCTGCAGAAATTCTCTCTGAGCCGCAGCTGTCACTGCGATATATGGAATTTCTGCAACTATTATCCTAAAAATTATTAGTTAGCAGTCTGCTACAAAATAATGCTGCACCATGGTACTTCATGTAATAATAAACAGCCAGTTTTGTTTTACTGTTTCAAGCTTCAGCAATTTCTTTGAGAAAGACAATGTAGACTGTTTGAAGTGCAAGCATAAGACGCTACACCCCTCCAGTGCTGTCTAAAAGCAGCATTTCTGATGGACTTTCCATATTTCGGTCTCTTGCGGACATCCCAACTAGTTGTGCCCCAAATGCTTTCTTTTAAGAATGGCATGCCTTTCTGTGGCAATCTTTCCCATGGTCCATTTCATGTTACAGCGCATGGGTGTGTGACAGTGCCTCTGAATTGCATGTCTTCTCTCTGATGTGGAGAAAACTGTACTTCGCTTTATGTGCTAAGACTGTAGCTGTCTACTGGATACAATCATTACCATGTAATGTTACATTTGTTTATTTTCTTCTGATTTGTTGGCAATAGGTCCAGTATTTGTTCAGAGTGTTCTGTAAGCTTCAACCCGGTGTGCCTGTTTTGGCACTCCATGGCAAACAGCATCAGATGAAGAGAATGGAAGTCTACAATTGTTTTGTTCGGAAAAAGGCAGCAGTACTTTTTGCTACAGATATCGCAGCTCGTGGCCTCGGTAGGTACCCATTAAAGCATTAGAATATTCACAAAGTGATGATCTGGTCCTGTTCAGACTTTATCAGTGCCAGTGTGCTCTTAAGGCCATGTTCATTTCTTACAAATCATATCGTAGTTTGTTACCGCTGTATTTAAAAGCTCATTAGGGTTACTCAGAAAGAAAAAGGTATGCTTCTCAAAGAGTTCTGCTGTTTCCTCACCAAAGAGAGGTGCAGTTCATTTGTGCTTAGTTTTCCTTTTTGTCCCTGAAGGACCTAAGCTGTCGTTAATCTTGTAAAGCTGTTTTTTTTTCTCCAAGTCTGTAGATAATCTAGTTCTTCCAGCAATGTTGTGTGACAAATATCCAGAACAAATAAAAATGGAAATGATGATACGTAGGCTCCCTACGCGCCTTAAGGCAAGATTTCAGCAGCTTTTAAGTATTGTCGGTTATGTCTGCGTCCTGTGAGTTATTCCAAAGTACATGAAAAATGGCTAATCTGCCTGTAGAGGGAAATGGAAACTTAGAGAGACTTTAATATCTGTGGACTGCATGTGGGATTATGGGACTTTAAGGAGGCAAAATAATAGATGAGGCAAAAGCAAGAATATTTTATAGGAGCTGTTTTGGCTTCAGTTTGTCTTTTCTTCGGTCATTAATTGCTAGATTATAACTTCTGCAAATGCTTTGCTACTTACGACTTTTTTAAATATTTGATAGAAGAATTTTGAATATATGATAGAAGAACTTTTCCAGGAGTCTACTTGTGTTTCTTTGGAGTAGCAAACTTTCATTGTCCAAAACGTAAGGTGTTGTCGGTACATTACAGGAGGAAATTGCTCCAAAATGGAAGCGAGCAGAAATGAAAACTGTTTATCATACCTTCTACATGGCTGAAATCTTGCTAGTGAGGAATTCATGTGGGTATGGTTGCCTGGGTTTAGAGGGTAGGTATGATTGTGGAACGCTGCGTTACTACAGACTTGGTCAGGAAGTAACAGTGGCTCGCTACAATGCAAGTTAGATGAAATAGAGCAGTTGGAAATTGCCATTTAAAACTATAATTCACTTTGAATATTGAGTTCTTGGTCCGGCTTGGTGACCTTCCCTTCCTGTCATTGAGAGGGACTATGATATTTCTGTACGTGGCTAGCTAAAGCAGTGGTATCTGACCACAGCTCATTTCAAACCCCAGTAGTGTAGAATATTGAAATTCCAGGTAAAAGTAGGTCAAATCCTGTTATTTAATTATTAAATGTTGTGGTGTCTTATTATCTGTGTGACGCAAAACATCTGTCTTTCCGTGTCAAGTGTAAAATTGTGTTCCTTTCGGTGCACTTTCGTAACTTAGGAAATGAAGACACCGTTAACTTTAACTTTCTTTGATGAAGAGGATGGTTGTTTATAATGTGCTAATACATACGGTTAATTTTATTTTTAACTCAGAAATGGCATGCAGGCAGTGTCTATAAGTTGATATCTAAATGATAATTCTTTACAGGAAGTAATTCTTCAAAATAACGTGTTACTCTTGAGTAGGAGGATTTTGAGTCCAGAGAGCTTAAAATTTAACATGTTTTTTCTTTACATAGATTTTCCCGCAGTGAACTGGGTCATTCAGTTTGATTGTCCAGAAGATGCAAATACGTACATCCACAGAGTGGGAAGAACAGCCAGGTTCGTATTCATTTCTGATTAATATTTTAATATTTAAAGCTACAGGCACTGCTACTTGGCTAAAGACTTGCTTGAAGGGGAAAAAAAAAAAAAAAAGAGTTGGAAGGAAAGAAGGCTAAAATCACCAGAAGACCTTTTGATTATTTAAAAGAAATGCTTTAACGTAATCAGAGACTTATGATGTCTAGTTTAATCTGACAGACAAGGTTAATAGTGAAGAAGCAAAAGTCATCTTTTGTACTTGGCAGGATTACTGCAATGGCTGATTGGACCACTTGTGTGTGTAGAAAAGCTTGTGTTGCCACTGCCATTTACAGATAAATAAAGCTTTAGACTTTGTGGATCCAGTTTTTTTCAGTGTCATTGGAGACTCATCAAAAGAATCATATTATTTCTGCCTTATTTTAATTTGGGAAGTAAGGAATCAAATGTTAATTACTGGTTACTTTTTTAATTTGTTAAGTCTTTTGTGGAATTATATTCTTGAGTTTAGCTTTAATTTAAATTATTTGTGGCCAGGCCTTTATAAAGAAAGGGAGTTACCTGGATACGCTATGGCAAACTGGTCGGGAATCTCTGAGGTTGATTTTTTTTTTTGGTTTTTTTTTTTTTTTTAAAGAAACAGGAGTTGTTATGTTGTATAATTCAATAAATTAAGAACTTTAACCATTTATCTGAAGGATGGAATGCAAGACCTGGCATTATATCTTGTACCTAATTTATTTAATATGTTTGTAGTAGGGCTTTACCATCTACTTTGCAGCAAAGGATGAGGTCAGATATAATGACTGAACAGTCTCTTAGAACAGGATATCAGTACTTTGTACTGCAGGGGTTTGAGATTTGTGTTTGGATTGGACAGCAGTAAGTTTTAGTGACTCATTAGTAGGAACACGTGTACTTTCAACGCTTTTTCCGAATGTGGAGTTTTTAGGTATGTATGTATTGTAATCGGTTACATCTCTGCTCCACTTTTCCCTATGTCTACCTTTTTCCTATCTACCCTTTTCTTATAGAAGGGAATAATAGGTTTTTTAATAGCTTTTGGAAATATGTTAGCTGTGAGCAAAATCAATGCATATTCTGTATAATTAGATGTAATATGTAGTCGCTTACGTATTTGAATTTAGCTAATCTCATTGGTCCTGGCTAAAAAAAGACCATAGGCATAGTTAGAACTTTTTTTAAAAAATCCCGTGTAGCTTCTGCAGAAGGCTTGTAATTTTGTATGGTATGCTGTATGGTATACTGTCCGTCATGGACGGGAAAACAATATATATAGCATGGTTTAACTGGCAGCTTTGAGAAGGATTGTTGAACTCTTTTGTAGCTGTGTTACTAAGTTGAAGTACCTGTCCGGATTTGGAGTCCTTAGGCATTTTCCTAGTACTTAGTAGGTGCTGAGAAGAATGATTGTAAGCAGCTTTAGAGATGGGGAACAGCTATATAAAGGCAAATAACCACCCCTTTTTAACGCTACTTTTAATAAAATGTCACTCTGACTAGCATGTTAGCCTTGCAAGGTTATGGGTCTGTCTTCAGAGCCTCTTGAATACAACCTTCTGTGGTTGCTTAAGGAACAGATTTAGGCAGAGTATGGGGGCAAAGGGTCTACTCTGCAGTACATCAGCTGTGCTGCATATCTGTCCCTTGCTTCGCCAGGCTGTCATTTAGATGTTTCTTTACATGAAACTTTCAGTAGCTGGATCTTACTGAAATTATAAGCATATCTGAGCAAATTATCTGAGCTGGCAGAACTGTGGTTGATATTGAAAGCTAATTCTTTCTGTAGGAAAAGCTTTGCCAGGTACTTTCTGTCTCTTAACCTCATACAGAGGTCAGTGAAGGTCCTGCTCTACGTTGGACTTTCATTATGGAGAAACGTACAGAGTCTTTGTCCTGAAGTTCACTGAACAAATCTGTTTCCAAGACTACAGTTAAGGGCATGAACTAAACCACTGAAAATAAGATAAGGAAAATACCTAATAGTTTTAGGTATATACCGTGCACTAAGTAAATAATCTAATATTGAGGAAGAAATGTCACTTGTTTTCAGAAGCAGCAGCTAGTATGAGAGGAGCTCATATTTTCTCTTTAAACTTAATAAAAATTAACTGCAGTTTAATAGTTGTCATTAATGAGGTTAGAGATAATTACGAAGTTTCATGGGTTATGAGAGTGTATAATTGCATGGAATGAAACCTAAATTAAATATCTCAGCTAATTAGGAGACTGTTAAGCTGTAATTGAAACTGGGTTGCTGAATACTGTCTACTTTTGAAATCAAATTATTTTGTGACTCAAAAGTAAATATGAAAGTCAAGAGAAAATATTAGTTTGAGATGGGGGTTGAAGAGTATTTGACTAACAGTTGTTGTGGTGTTTCTACAACACTTTTACACTTTTGCAAAGCCTTACCAAAAATGCAAGACACTGATTGATTTAAATGGATAAGACCTCTGTGTTCCCTAAGTAGGATTTCTCTTGCACTTCATGCTGCTGTGGAACATAAATTGCAACTTCTGCATTTTTTGTCTTAGGGTAAAGTAAAATCAAGAAAATCTGGGTGTTGTCCAGTAATGCTTTTACTTTATAGCAGAGCTGGCATCTCCTAGGAGTGTGTGCGTTGTTTTTTTTTTTTTTAACTTGGAAGATACACTACTATTGTGGTGACTGGAAAAAATGTGGAAACTATTTCCTCCAATTGCATTTTTAAATATTTATTTAAAGTCTAGCTGGTATAATAACATGATTTTCTGTAATACTGAGAATATTGCAACCATATCCTTAAATATTTTGTTGACTATGTTCTTGTCATACAGTCTCCTAGCAAAGACTGCAATGTAAACTATTAGATCACAGTGATTTTCCTGTGGATTTTAGTTTAAACGTTCTAAGCAAATAAGAGATACTTCTAAAGATGATCTGCAAAATTCAATTCTGGCTTTTAATTTCTATTGATGCCTGCTGTTCTCTAGCCCATGAAGCCTACTGTTGAAAAAATTCCTTCATCAGTTTTGTGAAACAAAACTGCAGTGCCACTAGAGGACAGCAGAAGATAATAGTTTCTGAAGCACAACCATATGCGTTTCCCCTGCCTCCCCAACTGTCTTTCCAAGCATAACTTGTAAGTTGTGTGGCATGAAAAGGAACATATATAGGAATGTTTTTCTTTCAGTCATGATTGCATTGACAAGTAGGATAGATATTGGAAGGTCTAGTCTGTCTTTCTGTTCATGCATAAGTATCTTGTATTTTGGATGTACTCGTGTCCTTTTATCCTGGCGTGTCTCAGTAATTAATTTCCTTCTTTCCAAGCGTTATCTGCCTCCTTTCCCCCCTTCTTCAGAGGAGACTATAGAAGCTGTTACTTGAGTTTAGTGATTTTTCTGTGTGCAGAACATTTTTAGACACTGACAGTTAAATGTAAGACAATAAATCTGTCCCTCTGCAGTTTTTATAATCACTGTGGTATGTCCAGATCTTTATATAAACTTCGAGTCTGGCTAAGTCTCAGACTTCTGATATTAATGGTATTTAATCTGGGCTAGGTTTTTTTAGGTGCTTAATCTGAATTAGGAAAGCCACTGTAATTTTTTTTGTTAAATGTAGTATATGTATGCATATAAGCATGCACATTCAATCTAACTGTACATAAGCTCTATCCTTTAGGTAAATTATATTCTGAAAATAAATGGAATAAAAGAATCAGTATTCTAAAACCAGGATACTGTAATGCCTTTACACTGGCTGATAATGTCTTTATACTGGCTGATATGATCATCACAGCCGAAAAGCGTGAATAAAGACTTAGAAGATCTGTAGTCTTTTTAATGTGTTGTGAGTACTGAAGAATGTACGCACAAGTTTTGGAAAGGTGAAAGGGGTCATCTGATATTACTCTGTCATGAAGTAAACTGCTTTGAAACATGCTCTTTGGGGCTCCCCTTAACTGCACATTATAGGTATGAAAGTGAGACTAATAAGCCTTTAGAATAATCTGTCCACGCGGGACTAAAGCATTTAAAAACGTGAGTGACTTAACGAAACAGTTTTTCAGTGGTGGTAGCTTGATTTCACATTGGGAAACATGTCTCAGAGATGTGTGTCTTGGGTTGTCAATGAACTGCGTAATCAAGATGGCAGCTTCTTGTTTGTTTTTTTTTTTTTTTTAATATTAAAGACTTGCTGAAGCACTTTTACTGATGTTTCTTTAAAAAACAATTGTAGTATTTAAACCATCTCTTATATTATATTGCAGTCAAGTCATTATCTTAAGTAAAGTAAAAATAGCTGCCAGTGGAGGTCACAAGAAATTGTTGACACTACATATTTAACTTGCAATGTATATTATTAAAAATCTCTAAATACTGTAACCTACCTACGTTCTTGACAGTATCCTCTGGGGCTACAGTTGCGTTAACTGGAACTATATTATCCGTTAGAATTTTTTTCTAATAATACGATATGAATGTTCTAATATGCTAAAATATTAAGTGGCGGTGGTTATTACGTACTGATGTGAAACTATCCTGGAAGCTATAATAAAAAAGAGAAGCACATGTATTTCAACGCAGTAGAGTGGACACAGCTGCTGTGGGAAATGGATTGCTTGCAAACTAGCTGGAGGACTCAGCAACCTCCCAAGGCCTTTTAATTCAATTTGTTTTGAAACTAGCATGATAAGGTTTGTGAGCCGCTGTCTTTTCTTGTCCATTATTTCTCCTGACTAAGTCTGCTCAGCAAACAAGATGAGCTAGTATGACTGAATGAAGGGGGTTATGATATTGTGGCATACCTAAAACCTAGTTACATGGTTCTCATAATTTGGCTATAGATATAAATGGGCCCTATTGTATAGACGGAAGGAAGAGGATATGAAGGGATCAAAACAAATCCCTACAAACCCTCTAAGTGGTCTCTAACTTGATAGTAACATTTACTGATGAGTTTTTTAAGGTCTGACTGAACGAAGGTCTGTAGACTTTAGACTGAACTAA